CAATTGCATGTAAACAGTGGGGTTGATTATGAAAAATCCTTATGCATAATTTAATAATTTTCTCCTTGTTGAATGGAAGCTTATTTTCAAGGAGTACTCAAAATTCCATTGAAACTTTATACACATCATTGGCTCCAAAAAGCGGTTGTATCCCTCGATGGCAATCATTCAAATTGACTTTCGATTGTTAAGTTATGAAGCTTGAAATGGTGAAAGAGGAAAGATAACTTATCTTTTCCAAGAATTCGAATTGGCAATCAGAACCCAACATATTCGGTTTGAAGATAAGCGAAAAAACATGTTCGCTTGTTGTGCATATACTATATTTGGCAACACTACGCGGTTTTTCCTAATATGATTCACAACCCTTCAGTTTGATGATAAAACTTCAGTGGGTTGGGCTTATCAAGAAAAGGCAATATATTGCGATAGAGATTCTTGATATGGATATTCCATGCATAAGCATGCCAATTGGGTTACAATAAAATTCCGATTTTTCTGGTCTACGGGGGGTCAAACTTGTCGTTGATTCCGTTCTTCGTTTTAGGATTATTAATAAACATATGGAGGAAGTTGGGTTTGTCCGAGATAATCGATGATTTCGATTCCAAATACAATATTGGCGAGGGGTAAGGATTCATTGTTAAGCTTCCTCGCAGGGGGACTTGGGTAAGTCTAGACTCAACATAATGAGAAACCAGATAATTGATTGGTTAGAAATGAATGCAATATACCCCAGAATCAACAAACAATTGCTAATAAGGTTCTAAACGAATTGGAAAACGGCATTTTAGATTTCTATGTTTGCTAGTGAACCCCACATTCATGGCGTAATTGTATAAAAAAAGGAGTATTTAAGATACTCGCGTTTGATGCAATATAAAACTTAATCCCTTTGGTCTTTGTAATTGATCAAGTTAGCAAAGATGGCTCGAATGCTGGTGGCAGCCGAACCATCAGTATAACGTTATCTCACTTTGTATGAGCAAGTTGTAAGTTCGTTTCAAATCCCAACAGCTAGAACGGATTGATTTATCCCTAAAATTATTGGCAAACAAAGAAATTTTCTTGTCGAATCAGGGCTCAACCAGAACGTAAAAAATCTTAAATAAAGAAATGACTTTAAGCTTGCATACAGGTATCTCTAATAGGGGCAATCAGGATTCAACGTGCCATTGCCAATCCAATGTCCTTGGCTTCCCTGTACTATCCAATCAAGTACCAAAGTCCCGAGTTTATGCCCATTGGTTCGTGCACCGATCTGGTAGTGGATATGGTTCTCCACCGATTTCTGAATGAAAAATTTGTTCATGGTTCTGTTGATGGGGAATAAGCAGGTCGACAAAGATCACTACGATCTCCACATTATTGGGATTTACCCGAATCTTTGGCTTATTGGAATCATGTGATGTTGGGTTCTATAGATGAATACTGTTGAACCAACATCCCGGGACCAGTTTAATGGTCTCCGCATTGTCTTCCATGTAGATGATCTATGCATATTTTCCATTGTTATAAATCAGTTGCAGAAAACCGCAATATTTTGCGCGTTTTTTCGGAGGCTTAGTGGGGGTGAGCAAGCTACGGAACGATTTTCCTCGGTGTCCATTTGAACAATACCTCAATTGGCGCTTGACGGCGGTTTTGATCTCTGGATTCTAAGGCTACGTTGTCCAGGGACCCCCGCTCTCTCTCCAGGACTTGGCATGGACTTAAGTGCAAGAAGCACTACATAATTACTTTTATTTTGCGGGATTTTCAGAGAAATGTCTGGCTGCAAAAAAATGTCTGCCGTGTAAATTGTAAAAACTGGGCTTAACATAATTCGAAGGGAATAACAGAATTACGAAAAGTATTATAAGTAGGAGCCTAGGAGGATTGTCCACTCATAGTAACTTATTAAAAGTACAATTGTTGATTGATACTACTATTTATAACTAATTCTTTGAATGGCAAACTCTAACTCCTTACAATTAATATTCACCCGCACAATTAAACAATGCACACAGATATTCTATTATAACACCATTGTACACCGCACTTAGACAATTGTTATTGTTAAAACCTATTAAACACACTTTATGATGAATTTCACTAATGAATGAAGTCTTGCATTATTATATCTCATACCTCAACAAAAAGCATTTGATGCCAAAGTACTTAATTCATCAATTGCAGCAATAAATTAGGAGAAATTGATTCTACAGTAGCGGGAAATAGTCAATAAGGAGGTTTCCTGACCTAACTACGCGTCTTTTACGAGCAGACAAAGGCATGCACAAGATATCAATCGTGGTGTATCATTCTGATACCCAGTTTATATTCAAAACTCTATAAACTCAAAAAACTGAAAAATACAAAATATCTACTAGATCATAGAATAAATAATATCTATTTGCTTTGCTTCAACAAATCAACACCTAAGGTTTGAATTATGGTCTTACCAATAGCACAAACTTCTTCATCAAAATATCTTCTACCACTCAATTGTAATCCAATAGGAGCACCTACGAATTCATCAGGGTGATAATTCTCGTTTTCTAATTTTTCAATATCATTTCTATATTTATATTTCAAATCTTCTTCAGTCCATTTATCAACTTTTGGATCTTGATAAAGACCAGTTTGGAAAGCTAAAGTTGGGAAATCTAAAAGATTGAATAAGGAAGTGTATGACCAACCATAAACTTCTTCAGAATGAGGTGCGACATTAGAATAAACTGGGGATAAAATAGCATCGACATTGTTCTCAGTCAAGAATTGTGAATATTCATGTCTCAAATCATCTCTAATGACATTCAAATTTCTATTCTCAGAAGCTGGGATATCTCTAGCTCCTTGACCATAATTCAAAGACCATCTAGTTAATTTAGTTATTGGTTCACCTGAAGCGGCTAATAATTTACGTTGGGCGGCATTACCATCAGCTGAATACATCTTATGAACTGTTTCGTAGGCCAATTGAGTTCTTGGTGGAGTCCATTCAATAATCTTGACCCCAGCAGCTTTTAATTTATTAACGGTTTCTTCAAGACCTCGTCTAATTGGAGGGGTTACTCTAACTAAGCCATCATCTCTAATAACAGCAATTGTAATTTCGGTTGGCTTTGGTTGAGTAACATCTCTCCATTGTAAAGGTAATGACCAATGATCGTAGTTCCATGGCTTACCTTCGTTAATGTATGATTTCATCCATAATTCAATATCTTCAACAGTACGAGCCAATGGACCAGCCACACCAGGAACGGATTCTTGACCTTTTTGACTTGAGATAGATCCAAATCCAGAAATTCTTCTAGTGGTTGGTCTTAATCCGATAGAACCGGAATATGCGGCTGGTGCTCTAATTGATCCACCAATATCTGAACCAACACCAATTACACTACCACCAAATCCAGTGATTGCACCTTCACCACTTGAGGACCCACCACTGGATAATAATAAGTTGTGTGGGTTTTGGGTGTTTCCGATAAGGTTATTGTTCCCATCTAAATGCATAAGGGTTTGTGGTTGATTAGTTCTAACGTAGAATACAGCACCGAGTTTTTCTAAAATCTTGGGAGTGACAGCGTGTTCTTCAGAAACATTATCCAAGAGAGAAACATATCCCGCATTGGTGATTCTTCCCTTGTAAGCAATATGTTCCTTAAGAGAAATTGGTAAACCGTGTAATGGACCAACGATCTTACCATTTTCTTTGAAATATTGATCTCTGGCTTCAGCTTGTTTCAAACCTTCCTCTAAGAAAAATTCCATAGCACAGTTGGTAAATTGATTACAGATGACTGCACGTTTAGCAAAAGCGTTGAATACTTGTACAGCAGTGAGTTCACCTTTAGACATCTTGTTGACTAATTCGACACCTGACGAGTCGGTGATGGCAAATTCTTCTGGAGTTAATAACTTAGCATCGTATAAGTAAGCGAGTGGGTTGAATTGTTCTTGAATTAATTCAGAACGATCCTTTGGAAGTTCGACTTTCAAATCTTTTGGAATAGAGGCTTCTCTTGCTTTTCTGTATGCTTCTACTTTTGGGAGCCATTCCTTTTGGTATCTTTCAGGATCTTCATAGTTATCAATAGGATCGTTAGTTAAAAGAGTTTGATATGCACTTTGTTTAGTCATGGTTGTATAGCGGATAGTTGAAATGTTTATTCGCAAGAAGAAAAGGAAAGAAATGAAATTTTTCAAATGTGGGAAAAGGGGTTTATCTTTGAGGGTATTTATACAATCGAGATACGGTGGAGTAAATTGTGGAGATAAACTGAAAAAAAGACGCGCGTTGGGTTCCCAAATAGGAAGTTTCCGAAATAACCGCTACAATCCGCCCAGTTATAATTTCGATTCCCTTCTATAAATCCGAGAGTATAAACTTCCGACTTGTGTTCAGTGTATAACTGGTTATACTGGGCGTGAGATCTTCTATTTACTATCACTAGTTATTTGAATGTCTCGATGCATTGACTCTTGATGTGGTCTTCAAACAGTTAATTCCCTATCCAAAGAACTCTTTTTGTGTGTCTCTACGGGGAAACTTACCGCGCAATCAATCTTCCCAATTAGGCAGTTGTATACGACCGTCGAGAGGCTTGAAAAAAAATTCGCCATTCAGATCCAACCTATTTTCTAAATGAAGGTGAGTTAGACATTCCTCGCTTATCAAGGTAGTCTTTCTGATTGTCAAGGTAGTCTTTCTGATTGTACGATTAGTAGCTACGTAAGAGAACATTCCAAATAGGACTTATCTGAACTCGAACAGACTGCGGCGGGCCTTGACTGGTAAGAGACAAGACTTTTTAAAGTCCGGACGGGAATCGCGGTCCGCCCAATACGACATACCGCCAACCACTGGCCCTAACTCTATACTTACTACCAGATAAGTGGAACTCCATGTCCGCTCGTGAAGCTGATGTACATTCACTTTCTTTTTTCCATTTTCGATTGTAGAAGTTAGTGATTTTGAATATTTGACCTCGAAACCCCAGTTCTGGAGTATATCCAGTCGATTTTGAAGGTATTTCAATGGAATTAGAAATAAGATACTCTTGAGCCATCACCTGGTATATCCTCTCCTGTCTACAGTGAACATTACATGTATATTTTTAAGCTATTATGAATCGGAAAGGTCATAGCATGAACCGATTTGAAATAACGTGTGGTAGTGTGGTTTGCAGAAAAATTGCAAAAAAATGGGTGCAAAATTGATTTATCTATAGAAATCCTTTAGAAAAATTTAATTATAAAACCTTTGTTCAGTTATTGTATTAATTAATACCGTTAACCATAGAAGACTACTTATAGTTCAATTTTATGGACGTTGCCCACGTTTGTTTTGTTGTTCAGTTTAGTATTCAGAAGGGTGTTAACAGTCTTTGGTATCAAGTGCTATTTTTTTAAAAGTATTGGCCCAACTCAACTGTAAGGAGTGTTTGGCCCTGCTTTCGGAAAACCTTAATACAGCAGAATGTGGTATGACTGTAACCCAGACTGACGTTCCTTCCTTGGAATAGAACCCCGCGCTGGCGTTTCAGAATGGTGCCACGTTACACTTGTGTTAGGTAGAGTTTGTCTGTCACATCTTTGTCATACGTGGGGTCCGGCCTGACTTGGATAAATACTTGTGGACTTTCCCCTTCTTCCAATTGGAATCAGGAATGGGCGAACAAGAATGCTTCCACGGATATGAGACAAGAGTCCTTCTACAGCTCTCACACAGTACGGTACTCGGCAACGACGACTGCTTACCTAACTTATATAGGACTACGTTCACCTCCCGTATTGAAATATACAATCTCTCGGTTCCTCCACGGACAGAACACAGTGCTTCCCTGCTATCAAACATGCTTATCTTCGATTCCGACCAAATGCGGCTTCTCTCTTAGAGCCTTTTCCCTTGGGCAATGTCTCCCTTACATCAACATTACTAACGGAAAAGGATGACCGTGTAAATATTTTTAAACTAAAAATTTAGTGAAATATTTTCCGTGGATTTTTCTTTTTTATTTTCGCCGTTATATTTTAAATATTAAAATTATTTTTTGCAACAATCTAAGCTGAGATGAGCCATTCGATGATCAATGATGAATAGTAATATAAATTATTATTTTGACTTTCTAACCAGATTAGTCGATTAAAGGTCATCCAGCTTTTGACAATGATTGGATGGTTACCTTTAGAACTTATTATAGATGCATAAAGTAGTGTTGGAATTTTAACTACTCTTTTGCAACTATTTCTATATTATTTCAAGCAATTTAAGAACAAATTTTATTTCAGAATGTTCAATTATTTGCTTTTGCTACTACCGCTATTGTTACTCGATTCATTGTGGTGAGCAGGGACGTTATTCTTAGAGAAGAAACTCACATTGAAAAAGACTACTTTGTCGATGGTCCATTGTGGCTTCTTGATGTCTATGTTGATTACCTCGACATCGATCGCCTTCTAGTCAATGAAAGTGGACAATTCTTCTACGTCACAACAACACCAGGTATTGATAGGGAAACTTCGTTCAATATTTTATATATCTCTAATCAAAACACTTGCTACTTTGACCTTTCTGCCGGTGAACGCCGTTTCATGTCAGCTTTCATTGGTCGTGTAATCAATCTTGGTACCATGCTATTTAAGGATTTTCATACAAATGGTCCTATGAAATTTATCCAACTCGATAATAGCGTCAATGGACTAATATATATTGAAAATACCAACTTGAAAGTAACTGTCGCATTTTCCAACGCAGGGACAATCTGCTTCGGACCCAAGGTGTCACTCACGGTTGAAAATGATGCCTATTTTAATACCCAAAAAGGGTGGATCAAACTATCGCCGGGGAACAACGTTACTGTCCCAGGGCATATCCTGCAAAATTTTTGCTTTCCTAAAGAGGATGGACATCTTGAAATTACATCAAGTTTTCCTGATACCGTGACGTTGGCAAATTATTTTGGTCAAACCAATAAGATCTTCCTTACACAGTCCGAAAACCACTCTTTGAAAATTTCCCCAGGATCACTCGTCTACACCGAACCATATTTAAAAATTACATTGGACGACGAATATCGCTTTAATACAGGAAATGGGTATGATTCACAAAGATTCGTTATGATACGTGTAGACGGTGGGGTGGAGATTTTCTACGATTATGATGCAGATGGGGCACTTCCCTCTCCATGTAGTTGTACGATACCAACATATACTATCCCCGATGGGAAACCCACATTTACAACACAAACACTTCAAACCACCACCGGTAACAATCGTGGGACCACAGTCACGCAACAAGGTAGTGGGACCGAAGTGACTCCTTTGTCAGCTGATGAATATATGGCAGCAGAAGCCAGCTTGCAACCAGAGCCAAATACGATAATATCGTAGAATCATAAATAGTTTTACAATGATTATTGAGGTTGACTTCTAGGGAGATAATACTTATTCATAATATATTTATATAGGCATATATAGCCTTTTGGAAGCACATACTCCAGATTAAAAATATAATATTGATGATAACTCCACGAACAAGAATAAAGGAATTAGTATAAGCTACCATTTCATCTGCTCTTCCATGTGCTTCTCTAATGTATTCAACAACGTCTTGTTCAGGTTTGGGTTGTAAAGACAATCAAAATCGAATATGAATAGAGGTGGCGTTGTTACAATCTCTAGAGGTTTTCTATTAATACTAACCCACCTGGCATCCTTAATTAAAAATAAAGTTTTGCATTGGTAAAGTTAATTAAATACATTTCTGATACATCTATAAAACACAATTGGTAGCACCACAGTTTCTTGTTGAATTTGGTTGTAAAAAAAAAAAAGATTTGACGAATTTATTTTGATTTAATTAATTAATAGATCAATTTTAAATTGAATAAAACAATAGACTTTTAACTAACTAACAACAACATCAAAGAATGACAGATGGAGGAATTCATAATTCTTCATTTTTTGAAGAGTTTTCATCTCCTTCCAATTCACTGTCAGGATCATCTTCTTTTATTAATTCAATACAACAACAACAACAACAACAACAACAATCACTAAGTCACAGTCCAATAATACGGAGTCCAGTACCTCAATTAATAAATACTAACAACACCTCTTCAGATTGCTTACCCAGTACTCCCAATTTAATAATCAAAAAATCAATGGATTTATCTACAAGTCTATTACAAGAAAATTCCATACAATCATCTAATCATCCAATAACGTCAACACCATCTTCAACTACCAAGAAAGTAAATGCATCATTCAATTCAACAACATCAAGTCCATTTATAACCAATCCTGAGTCGCGTCTAATAGAACTGCCATTCTATGATCTGGCCAATCATGTTAATCAATCAATAGCTTCTTCACAACCAGCATCAAGATTAACACCCAAATTGCAAAGAACAAACAGTAGAAACAGCAATGCTTCAATTAATAATTCATTAGCTGAATCGCTTAATAGACTAAATATTGCAACAAGTGGAGTAACTGCAACAGTAACTACATCCCCACCAACCGTCACCATTAATTCATCGACTACAGTATCATCAACCCCGAGTGGTACAGGTAAGGCAGGAACAAGAACAACAACGCCAGCAGACGCAGATAAGACAAGATCAAGAGCTTCAACACCGGCAGACAGCGTCAAAACAGGGGTAACAACATCGAGGCCCGGGAGCAGTATTCGAGGGAGCTCATACAATTATTCAACAGTTACTGGTACCCCACGTAAAAACTCATTTCATTATTCTACACTCAATACTGCAAATAATACTACGCGATATACCCAAGATTTCGATGACGATGAAGCGGATGATGTTTATAATCTAACAAATCTAGGAAACAGCAGCAATGGCAACGTCAATCACCAATCTTCGCCATTCATATCGCCTACACATGCGAGAGCCCCATCTTCAGTGGCGACCACCACTTCAAAATCTACAAGTAATCATAATCAGAATGCTCCATGGAGACATTTCCGTACTCCATCAGCAGCAACCACCGTCCCGACTTTACCTACATCAACATCAGCAGGCACCAATACAGGCTCGCCTCGCTTCTCAAGAGTGTTTCCCACAAAATATAGTAATTTCCACCCAGTGGGTACATATTCTAAAATTGATGAATTAAATCAAGAAATATTGGGATATAGAATTCAGATTGATTTATATAGGCAATTTTTACAGGAATTGATAGATAAATATCAATTCGAATTTTCCAGTGAGGATCAGCTTCCTCCAGGATTAACAGGTAATCTCCGAAGAGGAAGCAGTAGCAGTGGAGATGCGACGATGTTGGGGATAAAAATATCTTCGAGTCGAACTGATTATGAGAATCTATTGAAGGATTATAATGAGATCTATGCCCTTAATCAGGATTTATTTATCAATCTTAAAGATTTTGAACTGAAGATTGGTGAGAAGGAAGGAGAATTGGCAGAAGTGAATCGATATCTTGATGTATGTGAGGCGGTTATTGATGCTATATTGAGAGAGATTATGAGTAGAGAAGTTGAACAAGGGGGTGAAGGGGGGAAGCTTATGCGGGAAGAGGTGATGAGATATTCTATGGAGGACAAATTGAAGGTGATTAGACTGGAGTTGAGTGATACATTGGCGTTGTATGAACAACGACAGCTGCAATTGCAGTTGCAATTAGACGAACAGGAGAAGGAATATCAGATACAATTGGAAGAACATCGTCAGATACAACAAGGATATCAGCAACAACAACTACAACAACAGAGAGACGCAATCCCTCTGGAATCAAATGAGAAATATATGGATACTATTTCGCAATTGATTGGGTTAGTGGATAAATTGGAAACAGAACTCAGATTACATAAAACCGAATCAGATAGCTTACAACAAGAATTAAAGTTTGCTCTTGAAGATAATGGAAACATTAAACAGAATCTCTTACAAATAAGTGACAAGTTTCAACTATTAAAGCAAACATATCAAGAATTAGAAAATGTGAAACAGGAGAATCAGAAACATATCCAGACTATATCCCAATATGAAACAAAAATCCATCAACTTGAAAGTAGGTCCACCAGCGAAGTTAATCTTCCCTTAAACCGTAGTTCCATAAGCATTCCTGACGAGAATTTGATGGCGGAATATCTTGATCTTAAAACACGATATAATAAAGTATGTTCTGATTTAACAGAACAAGAGAAATTAACAAAAGAATCTATATCCAATCAAACTAACCTCAGTTCTAAATTTCAAGAGAAAGCAAACGAGCTTCGTCAATTATGGTCCAAAAATAATGAACTTCAGAATGAACTAGCCAATTCCTTAAATAAGCAACGAAAATTTAATACTGAACGAATCCAATTTTCTCATTCTGTGGAATCTCTTAAGAAAGATAATACATTATTGCGATCCAAGATTGCAAAATTGACAGATTTGATTTCTTTGAATGTTGATTCTACCGATTCTGAAGAAATTGGGAAAAAATTAACTATATTAGATATGCAATTTAAGGGATTATTAAATTATGATATTGAAAAATTTTCAAATTTAATTAAATCATTTAATAAAATTGCTGATGATAATAGTATAAAAGATCCAAAATCAAAATATGAAAAGTTGATTGCAAAATTAGGAGATAATGATCAGAATAAACTTAATAATAATGATTTGAATTATATTCGTGAAATTCATAAATCAATATTTGAATATTTTATAAGAGCAGTTGATATCTTAGTCAATGATCATGTTCGTCTATTATTACAAGAGAATGAAACTAAAAGTGATAGTGTCCGGGTTAGACAACAAACCAAACGTGTTGAGGAATTGCAAAATGAGAATGAGAACTTACGTGCTGAAATCGAGAGATTGAATCTGGAAGATATAGATTCAGTAACTAGGTTAAGAATGAATGATTTGAGAAATAAATGGAAAGCAGAAAGAGAAAGACGGGTATTGGAAGACGAGGAGGCTACTAGAAGGTATAGGGAATTGGAAAAAGAGAACGCCAGGTTGCTAAGGATCGTTCAGCAACAACAGCATTAATATGACATAAATATATAAATAGATAGAGAAGTATTAGAATAGTAATTAGAGGTGTAGTTAATAGAATGAAAGGGTATGAATATTGGTTAAATTTAGTTAGTAGTGTACTTTGTTCAATTTTTCACGTCTTCTCACCAAAACACAAAATAATTTCACACTGAAAAATTTTTCACTGTTCTTTAATATTCACAAGAAGCTAAGCTAGTGGACTTAAACCATTGAAAACTAATATCAAAGATGAGTCCAACAGAAGAAGAATATCTCCAACTTGAAAAGGAGATCAACTTGGATGACATTGATTTCTCCGATTTAGAAGAAAAATACGAAGTTGACACCGGATTAGACAATTATGTTATTGTTGATGGTGCTCCAATTGCCCCAGAGTCAAAGGTACCAATCTTAATCAAAGTTTTAAGAAAATTGTTCAACACTGTAGGTGAAGTGGTCGAAGGTGATGATGGTGTTTATATGCCATTAGAAAATGGGAAGTCCAAGGGGTATTTATTTGTCCAATTCAAAACTGCTGCTATGGCCGAAGCTGCTATCAAATCTTTAAATGGGAAGAAATTGGATCAAAAGCATCGTTTATTAGTTAATAGATTGAGTGATATTGAGAAATATAGTTCTATTTCTTCTGAATTCAAGGAACCAGAAGTACCACGTTTCAAGAGTCATGGTTATTTGAAATCTTGGTTACAAGATGAACAAGGACGTGATCAAATGTTGTTACATTTTTCTGAAACTGTTGGTATTTATTGGAATAAGAAAGCTAGTGAACCAGAACCAGTTATTGAACCAAGAAGAGCTTTCACTTCAAGATATGCCAAATTTTCACCAAAGGGTACATATTTATTTTCAATTCATCCTCAAGGTATTCAATCATGGGGTGGAGAAGATTTTAAAAGTATTCATAGATATGTTCATAATCAAGTCAGATTAATTGATTTTTCACCAAATGAAAACTATATGGTTACCTTATCCCCATTGGCTATTAGTTTACCTACTTCTGCTGCTGAAAGAGCACAATTCCCATTTGGACCAGAATCAGAAGGTCATAAATTAGTTATTTGGGATTTAGCCACTGGTGAACCAGCAAGAACATTTGCATTACCACCTCATTTAGAAGGACAAAAGGAAATGCCATGGCCTTTGGTTAAATGGTCTCACGATGATAAATATTGTGCACGTCAAGGTCCTGATGCATTGGCAATTTATGAAACTCCAAGTTTCCAATTATTGGAAAAGAAATTGGTTAAGATTGATGGAATTCAAGATTTCGAATGGGCACCTGCTGGTGTCCCACTTTATAATAGTAAAGCTGAAGGTGGAGAACATGTTTTGTCTTATTGGACTCCTGAAACTAGTAATCAAACTGCTAGAGTTGCTGTTATGCAAATTCCAAGTAGACAAGTTTTAAGAACGGTTAACTTATTCCAAGTTAATACTTGTAAAATGCATTGGCAAAGTGAAGGGAAATTATTATGTGTTAAAGTTGATTTACATACTAAATCACGTAAAACTATTTTCTCCAATTTAGAATTTTTCAAATTAACTGAAAGAGATATTCCAGTTGAAAAATTAGAATTAAAGGATGTTATTGTTAATTTCTCATGGGAACCTAAATCAGAAAGATTTATTACTATTTCAAGATTGGATGATGGAAATCCAAATCCTTCAATTCCAAAGAATACCATTTCTTTCTATGCTCGTGAACCAGTTAAAGGTAAGAAAGTTGCTCCAAAATACAAAGCTTATAACCAAGTTCAAGGAAAACATTCTAATACTGTTTATTGGTCACCAATGGGTAGATATGCTGTTGTGGCTACTATTCTGAGAACTTCTGGAGAATTAGAATTCTATGATGTTTCATTTGATGATGAGTCTAACAAGAAAGATCCAGCTAATGTTAAATTATTAAAAACAGAGAAATTCTCCGGTATGACCAATATGGCCTGGGATCCATCTGGAAGATTCCTTGCAGCATGGTCTTCCTCTTGGTTGCATTCAATTGAAAATGGATATAGAATATTTGAATTCACTGGAAATTTGATCCGTGACGAAACTCTCGATCAATTTAGAGAATTCATCTGGAGACCAAGACCAGAATCGTTATTAACTAATGCTGATAAGAAGAAGGTTAGAGCTAACTTACGTCAATATGCTGATCAATTCGAATTGGCTGATGCCATGGAAGCCGATGCTGCTGTTAAGGAAGCCATTATGGCAAGAAGAAAGGCATTGGCTGATTGGAGAGAATATAGAGCTAAGCATGTTGGTAAGGCTGTTCAAACTGGTGATGTTAAGATGAAAATTATTGAAGAAATTAAAGAAGAAATTATTGAAGAAAAGGAAGAAGTTATTGAATAAGTTTCTATTTACATTTAATTCCTTGCTCTATATATAAATACACATATAATTTGTACAATAAATAAATAATATCATATCTTTGTCATTTCTATTTCGCTACTTTAGTTTGTAATTGTAAACCATGCCATTGTTTAATTTCATCCTTTAATAACTCATTAACTAATCTATGTTGTTTAATCATAGGAATTCCTTTGAATTTCTCACTTTCAACCAAGATAGCAAACATAGATCCACATCCTCCTGAAACATCTTTGACTTGTAGATTCTTAGGTTGGAATTCTGTAGCTAAGATATTATATATCTTTTGTTCATAATCTCCCATAGGTGGTTCGGTGGAAAAGGCACGCAAGGCAGATGTGAATGTGGCTTGCTGAGGTTTTTGTCTTAGTAACGGTACTAAAGAAACACTTCTTTGTTTAGATATGAGATTTCTGAACATGGTATTGTCTTCTCGGTGGAGTTGTTAGTGGGGATGTAACCTATAAGCTGATTGTAATTAATAATCAAGTTTCTACTCAACAGAATGGGCACCTCGAGAATTTTTTTTATATATATAAAAGTCGTGTACTTTATCAATTTGCGAAAGGAGCTTTTGCTGCAAATTGTTGCAAAAAAGTCGAACTGGAAATAAACATTTAATTTTATTTCTGGTTTCTTTCTTTCTTTCTTTAACTACCACAATAATTCACATATCACATCCAGGTGGGAAAGTAGGGACTATACTAACCATACTAATACTCCTTTCTAGGTGCGTGTGGCTTGGAGCCAGCAGAGTGACAAGCATTTAGATGCTCCTTTCAAATGGGTATCTTCAACGATGAGAAAGGAAAGTAACAACATATCAATTTTGACTTGCTGGTATCTGTCTAAGTGTTGGTTTAATGCCTTGTCTGTATCATTGCAAATGCTGATGTCTGATGACACGTGATGTTTCCTTGAATTGGCTGGGGGGTTAAGGAAATGTCATAGATTCAAGGTGACTAACTACCATCATACCATGTCACATGACTTTCATTTTGTGACAAGAGGGGTCTGACAAGACTCAGTTATCCTTTTGGACAATTTTGCATGACGCGTTGCTTTTTAATGCTGAGAGCCGACTGAAACAACTTTTGCCTCTTACAAGATTGGCAGTATCTATTACCATCCGTTACAAATCTTCAATCCTGCATATAAGCTTTTTGCTGTTCGCAAATTTATCAAATATGATTTATGATTCCCTTTGGTAAAGAGTAATTATTCACATTACTTGATCCAAAAGTCTTAAAGCATGGATCTTTTGGTTTATTAGCAACTCCAGTGTATGCGAAATGCATAGAATTAATAGCTAGACAATTATAATTATCCTGATAAATTCAATGTTTATCAACCTGAAACATATATATTAAAATATTCAAATAATTTGTGAATTGTAATGGGAAAATGTTGTCGGAATACCATGAAGTTCTTGCGGCATAAATTTGGAATTGAATCTATTGCAGTTCCATTGAATTATCCTATTTCTGATAAAGAGATATTAGGTAAATTTTGAAGAGATATTCAAGAAAGAATCACCTAAGTTTGTGTATGTTTGATACCACATTTCTTCAATGACAAGAGTCATTTTTCCTTTTAAACGATTAACTGAATTATACAGAAGATATAATGTCCTTTTCATTAATTGATTGGTAGCTCATGGAGGAGTTGGGATGTATTAGTCAAGATTTATCAGAAATTGATCCTGATTTTTATGTTAGTAATTTACGTAAATGATATTTTGTTCCATTTGGATGTGCTGTATTATACATGGCTACCTAACATCAAAATAATACTCATACTTTCCCAATCAATCATTCTTACGTTTCTGATGAAACTATACTCGAAGATGAAGAACAACATAATCATTTAGCTGATAGATTTTTCTTTGTTGGAACTAAGAATGTTTCTTCAATTGCTGTGATTCCTGAAAAAATTAGAGGAATAGAGAATGAATATAGTGGAGAACAAGTCATTTTTGATTATTGTCATTGATTGACAACACAAGGGGCAATTATTTCATCAAAATGGGGTACTTCAAATTTAGAACAAGAAAACGGACCAACATTAATTAGTACAATGGTAACTATTGAAGTTGCAACAAGAGCCATTGGTCTTGATGGTGGCAGATTCAAGTAGAATTCGAATAAATTTATTGAAGTAGTTTGTACAAAGATGTCAGATTAATATAACGTATATAAACCATGTGTTATTCATAATAAATTATATGGTCGCAATTCATGTCAAATTTATACTGAACATAATGATTATCAAACTGATTATTTGATTAAAGCTTTAAAAGAATTTGTTGAATTAGAACGATTTAAAGATTTGAGAAGATTCTGTATTTACAATATTTATATATCCTTCACAAGAGTGCATCTGAACTGTGTAATATTTATTTAAATGAAAACGTTGGACAGTAAGGGATAAATAATGATAACCAAATTTTGATCTTAGATTGAGTATTTGTCTTACAACTTTGAGAGGGTTGAAACTGTCAAAGAGAATCTTTCTATGAAAATTGACACTTTCTTGATGCAACTTTGGCTGATTTATTTGAATTATATTCTGCTTATTAGAGACTAGTACTTGTAAATATCCAATCCAGGATTGACAAAATATTCTTCGCGGAAAAAATTGGTTGCAAATTCTGGACCTATAAATTGCGAAAAAACCACACAAATCCAAATTCATTTGTAAAATAAAATCTTCAAACATTAAAAGAAACATTAATATTAACCAACTAAAATACCAATTAAAATGTTCTCAAAGATCACAAGAAAATTTCACAAATCAGACAATTTAAGACCGAAATTGTTGCACTTTAAAGAGTTTTGTAAACTCGATACACAAACTCAGAAAACATACGTTCGTGGTTTATTCCACAAACACCAAAGGGGTGCAAGAGAAATAAGCCAAGAGCTTCATCAAACTCCAACAACAGAAGTTTCAAGTTCAATATATTCTACAGAACCATCTAGTTCAGTTTATTCCGATGCTACTCCTGTTAATTCCAACACCATTCCCCAACATACTGAAGAACCATATTATATTGGAAACAACGGAACCGTGTACATTCAAGACGAATTTGATGTTATTTCCGAAGAAATGAATACGAATGAATGGCAATATTTATCATGGGATTTTGAATCCCAAGCTGTGACTGCCCCTAGTTTTAATATTCCCGCAACACCTACATCTACTAAGACTTTTTACATGGATAACAACCACAAAGAAGAAGAGGAAATTACATTGCCAACTAGAGAATTAAAGAGTTCATTAAGAATTAATACTTACAATGCTTCCAACAGGCCAATCAAAATGGTGAGATTCAACTTTCCTACTCCTGATGCTTCTCCTACTACGTCTAGTCATGCTACATCTACTAAAAATTTTTACATGGATAACCGCCACAAAGAACAAGAGGAAATTACATTAGCAATTAGACCAAAAAAGAGTTCACTCAGAACTGATACTTGCAACGCATGCAACAGGCCCATAAAAACGGTGAGATTCAAACTTCCTACTCCGCCTGCTTCTCCTGTTGCTACTGCTACAACTACTGCTCCTCCTGATGCTGCTACACGTTTTACTACTTCTATTCCTACTGTTGCTAGTTTGACCAACGTTGAAAGGAACATAAGATATGAAGATTCGTTGAGCAGCGCTCTCATGAGCGCTCTCCAAACAATTGAAAATGGACGTGGCCATGGTGTTCCACGAAATGCTTTCCCTACTAGAAATACCTAACTTTCAACTTCCGAAGTCTATCCAAACCGACAGCTTGTTCCATAACAATGACCCAACAAGTAGATATACATTGAACCAAGAAGATAATTATGCGAGAAGTAATACATAATAGATTTTCATTTTTGGAAATTTTTGCATAAATTAGAGAATTCATATTGCACTGATTTAGAGGATCAGGAAGTCAAATATGAGTCTCTATCTTCTTCTTGTTCACGCAATGGGTATTGACATCCGAAGAAAGACTATATTGATTCTTCGGATATGGAAATAGTTGTTTATTGGTGAAAGGGAAGGTTGAAATGGTAGCGGATTTAAGCAAGAGGTTGCTATTTAATTGTTCACTTTATAGACTTTTATAAATTTAATATTTTTAGACAAAAACTTCTCTTTAGTAAAATTTCATGACTATGAGTAGGTTACGAGGATATTCTTGGC